AGTTCTGGAGAACCAGTTGCGGAAATTTTGAGTAGTTTGGACAACTGGCAAATACCACCTCTGACTGGAAATTTTACAATATCCTTCCCCTGCCACGCCCACCAAGCCACGCCCACAGAACCGATAGTAAAAAAAATTGAATCCCACCACTGATAGATATATAGATAAAGATATAACATAGCATTATGAAGCCAGTTTCATATTTTGAAAGGGTAATGTTCATTCTCACCTCCCCATCATTAATTTACTGAAGATCTCCCAAAATATTGATTTTGTAAACCAGACTATGTCAGAACAGAGTGTTTGGAAACTGGAAAAAAATTCTGTAAGTCGGTTTCAAATATCCTTGACAGGACATTTCATTCACTTTAGCATTTAAAAAACAGTCTTTGTAGCTTATAAGCTCTTAAGCAAATGTAAGTGAGAGGGAAAGCTAACATGTCTGATAATTCACTCTATCTGACTGACAACTGTGCTGAATTTCCCCTGTGGTGCTAGCAAAACATTGTTACAAAAGTAATAACATACCAAGAAAGAAAGGATCATAAAGGATCATGCTGTCAGCTTTAATTCTGGAGAACAAAAACCAGTAAGATGGTTTCTGTTTAAATCAGTCCAATACAACTCAGGAACATGGGTGCCAAATGCTGAATGGAGTAATGTGATCTGAGCTTAAAATAGCTGCCAAGTATACCATGGAGAAATATGTTGCAGCGTGAATGATCTGTTCAGAAGTAAAGTCACTGAACTGCAAGAGGTGATGAATGGGAAAGATTTTCCCTACCTTCATCCATACCTGATGTCTTCTCATGTTACTCTCCCATGCCTTTTCAATGTTCATAAATATTGAAATTTCCATTTCTACATGGATTTCTTATGTCATGCTTATGGCAGGATCCTCCTCAGCTCAGTAAATTCCAGGTTTGGTCTTTAGCATTTTCAATTCAAAGGATTAGGTGATATGACTCACTGTTTGCATGAGGCTCTGGGAACATGCTGTCAATCAGAATAAATATTACTGAACTAAATAGACAAATATATTACAGGAACAGAAGGAAAAAGCTAATAGTTTAAGAAAATATATGTTGAGAGTAGGGGTGTGTGGGTGGGCATCTACAAGTCAGTAATTAACTGCCTAAGTAAGGTGTCGTTTATACCAATATGCGTACTGTATATCCAAATAATTCTTATTATTATACTCTATAATGATCTGCCTTGTCAAAAAATCAGCATCCAAAAAGCATGACATTTCCCCTGAAAATGAGCAAACGGTAAACATTAATAGTAGTGATGATGCCTTGAGCAAAACGGAAAAACGGTTGGGATTTTCTTCATTGCAATGTAACTTATCTTGCTCACATTCGTTCTGACTAGTTATCTGTCACTTATTATTATTATTGCTTACTCTTAATGAAAAACTACAATTATAACACCACTTCACAGCTTCACTGTGAGGCACTACACAGCTTCTTTTTACTGTTATTATGCAATAAAATTTCAATCCACTTTACATTTAAAGCTTCACAAAGACACGTTTTGATTAGAAAATGGATGTGGACTGTCTTCTTATATTATAAGCTTTTAATTATGTATTAGAATATATTTGTCATATGATGTTTCAGATTTCTTGGCTAACTACTCACATAGCATGGCTTATATTTGCTTTTTTGTATTGCCCATATTCTTTTAAGTTTGTAAATATATTATCTATTTCTTGCATACTTTTAAAAATATGCATTTAAAAGAAAATTCTTTTTTTAAAAAAAAAGCTTTATTATTATTTATATTTTACATTACCATAATCTCAACCTCCAAAATTATTATACACTTCTAGAACTACCTTTCAGATGCCTCATACAGAGAATTACCACTTTTTTTAATTGGGTCTTTCAATTTAGTTTATGGATTTCAGTGATTAAGTTCATTGTATTCAGCTGTTAACCAGCTGGATGGGGGAAGTGTTCCCACAGACCACATGTAGAAAATGATGGTCCCTTTATGATTTGTGGACTTCAACTCGAAATCTACAAGTCATAAAAGGGCCATCATTCCCCACCTCTGCCATAAAAATTTTCCTAAGCCTGGCTCATACATAGTGCCCACAAAACCCATTCAAAAAAAAAATTGTTCAAGAAAAAAAATGCCCATATATAAAACATTACATGAGAATGGTAAGTGTCAACTCTACCAAGCTGATCTAGTCGGAGCCATCTCGGAGCTTCAGTCCAGCCACACTGCAGTGAGGGTTAGGGAAGGAGGATTAGAGATAGCTGGGGTTGTGTAGTCAAAATAAAATACTTTCTCTTGGGAAAGTATCTGGCCGGAGGAAGGAGATGTCACCAGACCAGCGGATGCTGCCTTGATTGAGCCATGTTACTGATTGTTTGGGGTTGGGGGAAATCTTTTACTTTTAATTAGGTGAAAACCAAGGGGCCTCTCAGAGTTGTTTTGCACCAGATACGTGCCAATATGATATTTTCAATAAAGCTATACTTTCAAGAATCCACCTGCCTCTAAGTTTTTGCTTGTAATGGATCTATTACTTGGAACCCTGACAGTAGGAAGATGTCTAGATAAGGCCACTTCCATCAAATTTATTGAATGAGTCAGAATAGTTTCCCAGTAAAAGCACCATCATCCCAAGGCAAATGGATCTGAAAACCATTGGAGATAAGGAAGTTTGGCTGTTTCCATAGCTGTATGGGAAATAGTCTGGAACATTTAACTAGTTTTGAGATCTATAGGTAGAATAAAGGCATTACAACCGGATTACTAAAATGCATACTCAAGCAAACAGCAAGCTTTATGTTTTGCTAATATAATGAAATTTAGCACCATCGTTTGGAGAGAAACAGAGAGCAAGAAGAAAAGAAAACCCTTCCTTTATACAAATATTTTCCTCATTAACTTTTATTTTTTAAAAAGGGAACATATACAGCAAGGTTTTTTTCATAGAAAACATATGTCAAATACATATATATGTATTTTTCTAAAGAAATCCAATTATCATATGTTGCCGCAAATGATGAGATAAGAATTTTATCTTCAAAATCTGCTCCTATTTGCAAGAAGCAGATTTGGCATACTTCCAATTGCTAAGCACTTTCTCCTGGCGAACAGACAATGCCACAACTAGCCAGTCTCTATGTAGTCATATTCCGAGGCATACAGGTATACCTCCTATACAGGTAGTATAGAGTATTCAGACAACAGAGAAGGCTTTGGAAAGGTAAAGACAGAAGTTTCATAAAAATGGATGCTTTTAATATTTATCGGAACATAATCATGCGGGCTTTAATTCTACCCTGAACCACTGCGGTAAGAGGAGAAGAGGGGAAATCAAAAGAAGGGATTATATTATAGCGAAACAGATGTAAACAGACTGCTAAGAAACATACTTTCTTGCTATTACCAAAAATAGAGAATGGAGCAAGTTTTCCAATGAAAACATGGTATTAATTTTAAAGAGTGAATGTTTGCAAAGTGATAACAAATAGAAGGAGCAAAAGTAGACCTGGCTCCAGGCTTGAAAAATGTAAGTAACATTTCTAATGCCTCCTTTCTGCCCTTCCTCATCTAACTGAATCTTGACGTGCATTTTCTGGCAATGTAGCAATACATGAAACAGGCCTCAATGCCCCCTTTACGTTACCCATAATATTTCAGTCTTGCAGTGGATTAAGGGATAATGGGGAAAGCCTATCATCCTGAACCAGAAGAAAAAGGATGCCATATGTAAAGCTGGTGCCTTCTGCTCGGGTTGCAGGTAGCCAGTACCTTTTATTAATCTGGGAGAGAAACCAAGTTGGTCGGAGTCAACTGTAGTCTAGCTAAGAATGGAGCTCAATATAGTCTTGCTTCTTCAACATGGGAAGTGTGTGGTAAAGTGATCATACATGAGTTTTTAAAAATATTATTCTCCATTCCATATGATCACCCCTTCTACATATCCATCATAGACCTTCCTTCCTTCCTTCCTCCTTCCTTTCTTCCTTCATTCTTTCCTGTGCATGTTGTAAGAGAACAGGTGGACTATGAAAAGGTGATTGACAGACAATAGTTCAAACAACATGATCAAATGGATCAAATTATAAACTTCACTGGACACCAAAACATGATGTAAAAATGAAATAATAATTATAATTGTATCATGCATTGTTTTAATGCCCAGGTAAGCAACAACAGCTGCTGCATCTTTTGTAGTTCCTTTGGATGAGCTGTTCATAATTTGGACTACATGGACTTATTGCATCTAAAAACCGCTCTTCTGCTGATCTCATCCTTTCTCTGACACATTGTCTAAAGCATTACATGGATAATTATTTTTAAGAAGTGAACTGCTTGCTCATAGTAAAACTGAGAACTGAAACAAAAACAAATAGAGTAAGGATTGCATGGAACTCTTGTTTGTTCAGTAAGGTTGCAGGACTAATTCAAACAATATTATAATTAAGGGCTACACACAGTCCAAATTGCTTCTCAGATGACTTTTCTTTACCATAAATCCCATATCATCTAAAATTGTTTATCCTCTTGTTCTCTAATTTCAAATATCAATTTACTCATTTCGGCACAGTCCATTATTTTCTTAATAATTTCCTCCTGCATGGGTATTTTTTCATTTTTCCAGTTCTTAGCAAATACAATTCTAGCCGCTGTTAAAACATTTACAATCAAATATTTCAATTCTTTACAATATATTTCCGGTATGATTCCCAATAAAAATAATCTCAGGTTTAAAGTCCATGTGTTGTTTTGTCATTTTTTCCAACCATGTGTGGATTATAGTCCAATATCTTTTTGCATCCGAGCATGTCCACCACATGTGGTAATATGAACCAGGTATCTGATGACATTTCCAACATTTATCCGAATTATCCTTGAACATCCTGGCAATTCTCGTCGGGGGTAAGTGCCACCTGTAAAACATCTTATACAAATGTTCTTTATATGCAGTTGACATTGTCATTTTATAATTTTGAGATGACTTCTCAGATGACTTTTAAGGAGACCAAAGCTGGCCCTTCTTTCAGGAGCAATATGAGTATTTGCATCTAGACTTCCTCATATAATTTTGCATTTGTGTTGCCTAGGAAAAGGATACAATTTGACTACAAGGCAATTTAATGATTAGACCTTAATTTATTGGCTGTCCGTAAGCACACAGATCCTTACACTGAAAAAAGATATTGATGATAGGGAAATTTTAGATCTATACTAAATAAAAAATAGGCCTGTTTCTGGAAATTTGCATTGTTATATAACATTAAAGTGTTATTTCGAAAGACATCACATTTGGAATCTTTCCAAAAACAGAATACAAAAATCCATTGTAGATGAATTGAGAAGGGTGATCTCCCAACCCTTTCCTTACTTCCAGCAGCAAATATTTGGATAGGAGAGAAAAGAAGACCTAGTTTCATTGTAAATGTTCTTTCATTAAGTAGTTAATGTCAATAATGAATTGTTGAATTGGCCTGCAGCCAGCACCTAATTCTTATGGTAATTATTTTATATATTTCCTTGGGTGTTAATATATGTAGGAAGATTTCAAGAAATATGAAACAATCCTACTTCTGAAAGCATTTTCATGTCCTTCATGGCAAGGACATGTAAACAGTGGCTACAATCTTGTGCACATTTCTGGGAAGCAATCTTCACTGAACCTAAGCATCACACTTCCAGTATTACTGAGCAGCCAATATGAAGTTACATTATTTAAGTCAATCTTCAATGATACCATGAGTATTCTATGGCAGTAGTGATAACAATGTATAAAAAAAACCATATTTAGCATAACTTCACCACACACTAATAATTCAAGCACCTGCTACCCAACTAATCAGAATGCAGATAAATCGTACGTCCTACCAGGAGGAACAACATGCCAGAAAACATAGCAAAAAATATTCCAACTGGAGCCAGTATAAAAGACCAGCCGTAACGTACATAGATGGAATAACTTGAACAGTCAATTTTCTTCTGAGCTTCATAATTTTTGAGATCAGCCACTGCTTGGACCCAGATAACATACAGTACAACCACCAGGGAGAATAGAATGCCTGGCAGATGGAGAAAAAAGAATATTTTATTAAATATTTATGGCAACATTGTCATACAGGAACTCAGAAATATCCAGAAACTTTAGAAAAACAGATTCTCTAATCCTATAAATCTATGGAAGTCACGATTTCCAGAATGGATTATTAGATTTATATCCTTCATTTTGTTCAGAATCTCAAGGCAGCATTCACGACACTCTCTCCCCCCATTTTTCCCTACAACTACTTTGGAAGGAAGGATGGGCTGAAAGAAAGTAACCGGCACAACATCATCCAACAAGCTTGTTAATGAACTAGAATCCAAGTCTGCTTCTACTCTTGTCTTTCTCTCTACTGGGAAGCTTTCATGAATGGATATAATAACAACTAGAAAAATATTTATTGGTAAACTTATTTATTAGTTACATAGGGAGAAATGTTTTAAGTTTGTTTTTATACTATATATTACTTGCATATAGCATCATTTTAGAAGGTCAGCATATAGATTTGTGACATCTATCTATTCATCCAATAGAGAAAATATTTGGCCCATTAATTTTTGGGCTTTGGTTGAGGTTGAGGAAAGCAAGTTACCAAAAACCAATGGAGGACCAGAGGCTCCAATTCTTGTCTTAAACATTTATAATTTAAATGACATCTTCCTTCAAAACGTGCATTATGTTTGAACAGATTGAATGCTTAATTGTACCATTGGTTTATTACCAAGATCAATGGGCCAAATGACACTCATTGATTTGGGAGAAAAATGTTCCTTTATTATGATCATTATCACAAATGGCCATTGCCATTCAAGCCCAGTGACTGTGACTAAGTTTTTTTTTAAAAAAGCAAGGATTTTTAGAAACTTTTGAGACTGCTACATAGATCCTCTGTTTCAACTTGTTAAGACCCTTTGCTTGAAGACCAATTCCCCATTCATTAGTAAAAGTAAGCGTCTTAAAGATGTAATGAATCACAAAAAGATGGAACCCATTACTTCAAAAAATTAACAATGGGTTCAGCAGATATTTGGATAAATAAGGATTCGTCTCTCTATTTCTCTGTCTCTCCCTCACCATTACTCATTTTGCTGTTTTATTTTTCAGGGGCACCCATATTTTATCCACAAGGTATAAAGTAACACAGTGAGGAGAAGCAGCAATTAACAGAAGTCTTCATTCCAATATATTTATACTTCTTTCAAAGGTAAATAAATGAGAAAAAAGAAATATCTGTATACTCGAACAAATTCCTGATCTTCCCACATAGCAATGCTTTTTCCATACCAACAATGAAGGGTTGTTTATGGTACAAAGAAGGAAGAAGGGAGAGAGAGATGTGATCAACAGGTGCTGTTTAAAGTGACAGGCTCCTCTACAGTTCCACTAGTATTACAGAGGTTTGAAAATCCTTATTTTTTTTTAATCATTCCAGACTTTGTTCTTTTTGTTGGCTTTGTTAGCAGGCTGTATATGGACAACTTCTGGTTTTGTCTTCTGCTCCTCAGGCTGACTTATATCCTTAGATTTTTGTAGGATTTGATTGAAGCTGGGAAACTGTTGTGCTGCCAGGGCACTTCATGCATTCCACAGAGCTTCAATCAAATCCTACAAAAATCAAAGGATATAAGTCAGCCTGAGGAGCAGAAGACAAAACCATACAGAGGCTCTGAAATGGTAGCTGATCTGCATGTTCTGCTAGTAGATAACATACAAATCAGCCTTTCTTGTACTTGCATTAGAGAAAATATACGAAGGGAGAGCAATTAAAACAGGATATATCATGTGGGTTGATAAATTAAACATACATCCTTCCTCGCATTATTTCCTTGCATGTTTGATGGTTGGTTTAAAATAATCAAATAAAGACCTCTGGTAAAAGACTTTATTTTTCCTTCTTGTTTAGCCTCTGAACCAGTGTAGAAAATAACAGGATTTAGGAAGGATCCAGCTAGTAGAGAGTCTTCTAAATCACACATTCCATGATCTGTACTGTCATGTCTTAACTGAGGTAAATAAAATTATATGTTTCAAATGCAGTATTTTAAATAAGGTAATAGGACTTTGAGCCTCAGAACAGCCATTAAGTGATATGAAGGAACGTAAGTAAGGAGCACAAAGTTAAGAAAAAAATAGGGTTATTCTCCCGCAGAGTTGAAGAACTGGATGTTTAGAAGTAAAACTCCGTCATTGTAGTAGCAGGATTTATGTCTGAACAGACACACACAGGATTGCTCTAAATACACCTATTATACAACATTGTCAGTTCATCAGCAACATCTCTTTTGAATCTCCTGTTCTGAATATGGCTTAATCTCTTGATTAGACCATGAAATGCTTACAGAGACTCATGTACTTTGAACAGCTTGCTCTAAATTTATGTAATTTCAAATCTATAGTGTATTTTACTATATTTTGAAATTAACAAGTGAGAAGAAAGCCAGGACTCCAAAGCTCCCCAGCCACTAGCATATTACTTCCATATAATTTGTGGGAAAGAAAAATGGTAAGAAGATAAATGAAACTTGTGTTAAGGCTACCTTGACTATTCCTTTAAGGAGACAGTTGGAATATAAATCCAACAAAGTGTTGGTGTTCTGAAACAGGATGCTAGAATTTACTGGAATGCTGTAAGAACCGAATGTAAATGGAGCAACTGGGGAAGAATTGAAAATCACTTAAGAATAATATAATCTGGCTATTGAGTCAGAAATGGTTTAACAAGGCTAAAATTAATTGTTCAAGACCCTGAAGTTGTGGCAGAAATGGGGACTGAATAGGAGAGGTAAGTAGAGTGTCTATAATAGAATAAAAAGGATGTATGTAGTAACAGAAATATCTACCCAGAACTATGATCAATCCAACAGAATGGAACAAGGGACAGAAAAGATACATATTTGGATCCTAAATGTCAGTTCTGAGTTCTAAGCAAGTATGCATGTATTCTGTAGAAACACCTGATGAGTTGTTTCTGAAAGAGACAGAAATGACTGGAAGTAGAGGCTCTTATTTTCTTGGTCTGTCAGGAGAGGGAGACAAAGTTTGAGGGTTGATGTTGAAGGAGAGAATGAGGTTCAAATTAAGTTTTCTATTCTCTTTCCAGGGCCTTGAAAAGAAATTGTGATATCTTGAAGGGACTACCACAATTCCAAGAGCACCTTGCTGAATGGATTACTTCCTTACTATATAAACAAGAAGGCATTCTTAGATACTGTCCCACAAAATATGTGGAGTTTAGATTATCTTCTGGAGATATTTTGAATATGGCATGCTAGAAAAAGACTTTGCTGGTATTACATTGTGAAGAAGGAGGGTTTTGTGATAGATAAATACATGGACATAGAATGATTGGGCTATTATACATATACTTATACATATACACATACACATACATTGAAAAAAAAATATATGTTATCCCTTCCTTCAATGAGACTTTTTCAAGAAACATTCCCATCTAAATCCAAGGTATTTTATGCTTAGCATACAAAACCCTCCCCAGATCCTTGCATTGCATCTATGGTTTCAACCACACAGTCTATAATTTTAGGATAAGGTATGTTGCTTTGGGACAACTAACTTTGGACAGCACATGAAACTTACCAGAAGCAATGAAAAAACCTCCTCCTATTTTGTAGAGGATGTGACTACCAAAAGGTGCAGCACAGATGATGAAGAAACTAGCAACAACCACAGTGACCACTCCAAGGAGCATGAAAATTGACCAAAAACCACGATAAACTGGAAATGGGAATAGGAGAATATCAAAAAGACATTTTAGAGAATAAAAGACCATTTTTACAAAATATTTCCAGCCTTCTCTAACATTTTTTTTCATTAGCAAGCTGAACATTTATTCCAGCACAGCCTCCTAGTAATCAGTAATCTAAAGCACCATATGTCCTGCATTAGACAGGAATGCCAAATGCTATCAGATCATCTTGGAATATAATGATGCATGTGAAGAGTGTTTTGAATCCCTGTTGTTTGGTATCTGCTGGAGAGACATGCGGTTAATCAGTTCACTTGCTTGGCCAATGGAAATTGTTCATAAAATAATATGCTGAACTATAGCCAAGATTCTTCAAGATATTTGCATGGTTTTACCAGATACAATTGATCTTACTAAAGTAGAAACAGAGCCTACAGACAATGTAAAGAAAAGTTTAAAACAGAGCCAAGATAAGTCACAAAATTGCTGAAAACCAGAATTGAGTGCTTTTAAGAAACGTATACTATATATTCACCAAAATGTATTTACATATGGTTTTAAAAATCCAAGTTGAAAATATCAATGGAAAGACAAGCCAAAATAAGTATTCTAAAAAAGGATAATAACTACAACTGTTCAAACAGTATATTTCTTTGTGTATTTTTCAAAGCAAATATTAAAAGTCATTGCATCAAGGACAAGCAATATTAAAGGTTCTGGATAATGATCATTGCTTTAAGACTCTGGTAACATATGGTGTTCTTCCCTTCAAATATTCATAATAATAAATTAATTGACAAATTAGGCATCTATTTTTAGGAATCTTTATAAAAAGTAAGATTATGGAAATCTATTTATTTTATTCATTATAAATAGAAATAATAAATAAAATAAATTTAGGATTATTCATATTGATATTTAAACTGTATTTCAACTACTGTTTTATGAGTGAAGTTGCAGAAAATACTTGAAAGTGTATGAACATTCTATAAATTAATTTTCCTCATAGTGTATTCATAAAGTTCTCCTATTTCAATAATTTGAAATATTTTAAACCAAAATTTATTTACATTGTAATGCAAATAATTTTAATTCTAAAAAAAAAGACTATAAATGTATTAGAGTTGCTATGTTCCCTACTGTATAAATGAGAGTCCTTTAAAAAAAAAAAGATTGCTAGAATCTAATCTTGGTCACAGCATTTGCTGTTTATATGGTATAACATAAACAAGCCACCCAATCATTTTGCGGAGTGAGATGGATGGCATACAAATTAAATTAAAAAATCAATTTTTAAAAAATTTACATCATCATGTACACAATTGCAATTGCAAATGTTACATAAAACCATGTCTTATTTTCCAACTGAAAGCCTTAGTATAGTATCCTCTCAATAATTAATTATTATCCTTTCCTATAAAATAGATTATGTATGCTTTGATTATCTGTGGAATCTGTTCATTAATTTGTTTATTTTAAATATATACTTCTTGCTGTTATGGTGGCAAATCAAAAGTTTATACCGAAAATATAAAAACTCAAGGGAATAATTGGAACCTCTGTCTAAACACAATTTTATATGAATATAAGGAAGAACTCTATCTTGTGTTTTATGATAGTTTTTCACATCTTCTGGTTGAAGACATTGTTATTTGCACCCTACCTCTGAAGGACAGTTTAGTATCTAATGGGACCTTTCAAAATAAGCTATACAAACTATAGCCTCTTTTCTTAAAAGTAAACTATAGTCTCTAACATTTTCTAGAATCTTGAACAGAGTTCCTCATTTTGAGGATTGTCGTTCAAAAGAAGTGATGAGACAAAATTATTTTGTTAGTTTGGTTTTGAAGAATTGATGAAAAAACATTCAACTTTATTTCTTTTTTGTGAACAGAAATATTATTTTTCAGGGACCAATATGGCTAAGGAATTGGAGACTTATTATCTACTCCCAATTAGATTTAGAAATATTCCTTTGAATTTGGGGTCTAAAAAAGAATTATTTCCATAGATTTCTGCCTTTGCCCACATACACACAGAAATAATAATTTATCATTATCATTAAATGTGTATGCCACCGAAAATGAAGCAATTTATTATTTCATTATGTAATATTTACACAATATAATTTAGCAATAAATAAAATGGACTTTGGAATAATATTTATACTTAGGGTATTTCCAAAGTAGTAGAACAAGAATGCATTGAAGTGGTGCTACAGATTTTAAATCCACATGCTTTGTGTTGTTGCAATATGAATAGTTTCCATAACTAAGCATCATAACATTTTTCTGCAGCATGTCACAGCTCTAGTTTTGGCAATGTTTCACAAGGCTAAAAATATAAAAGAGTTGGGAACAGGAAAACAAACAGGAGTGAATAGGTAATTGAGCTTGATTTTTATCAAAGTGATATTGCCAGTCATAAGAAGAATAAATTATTTCTTATTGTCTTTTATTGAATCACAAAACTTGCAGAATTAGAAGTACCTTCAAGAAGGGGCTTGACTGTTGATTGAGTAAGTGAGTGATTGATTGCAAAATGTGAAACTAATCTCCCTTTTCTCAGGTTGCTCTTAAGGACAGATATAACCAGTATGTCTTCTCTCCCAGTAGAATTAATAAGAAGTCCATAAATTGACTCTGTCTTCAATATTTGATTTTTTCTTTTTTTGTAAAGGAAAAAGTTCCAATAAAACTGAATAATAATAGATTCTTATATGCAGGATTCTGTTTTCATGTATTTATTTTTATGCAATAATTTGCAATTTTATGTTTTTTTATGTACCCAAATAAAGTGGCTTGGTGTGGGAAGAGGAAAAGAGATGATTTTTCAGAACAAGAGTTTCTTTAGTCAGTTTCCTTTTTGCAGAAATCTGCCTAATGTATTGTCTTTCTGACTGAAGGCTCAATATTTCTCAGTTTCTTTTTATTCATCCAGTTGACCCTTTTTTATAATAGTTCATGAAGCTTTTGTTTATTTAAAGAACTTGTATGGCTCCTTATACTATGCATGATCAACCTAGGCAGCTCACAACAACATTCCATAAAATAGAAGCCAGAAAACTCCACATTATCATATGGTATATCCCATCACAACACTATCATTTCTTATCAACTCTATATTTACACTTGCATTTGCTGGGCTCATTCCCATTCTAGCTCAATGCATATCTTCATAGCCCTCTGGAAGGGAAATAGAGTGGGGCCCTCCAAAACTGAGAGGGAAGCTCTTCCAAAGAGTTGTGTTTATTTGTTTCAAAAAAAAAAGGTCCCCTGGCTGGTTGGCTGGTTGGCTGGTTGGTTGATTTAATCAGTGAATAGAGTGACTACTGCCTGAAATTTGACCAATCACATATTTGATCAATATATAAAATACCATTTGTGGAAGAGGTAAAAAAGTCAAGATGATGCTCAAGCATGGACAATCAAAATGCCACCTCCTTTTGTAAAGATATCATAACGCATAAAAAAGGAAACAGGATTTTAACTATGTGGGTGTTGATGTTATCTTGACTTTTTCACTTCCTCTCCTCTCAAAATGTTGCCCTTGACCTTTTTCATATGATCTATGAAAGTAAACTATTGGAAGGAACCATATTACCAATATCTCATTAAGCTAATTGGATTTAATTTAATGTATTTTAATTTTTTGACCCCATTCAACCCATTTCTCAATTCTTATCTTACCTTATTGTTGAGGTGCTAATTAAAGGTACATTGCAATCTTTGCCCTTAAAATGTTGGACTCAATTTCTGGGATAAAAGGACACTACTAATCAATACCGGCCATCTTTTTTCAGCTAGCAGTGAAGTGTCATTTTTGACAAGTTAATTTTAATTTGAACCACCATGAGACTGGTTCTTCCCTAGAAATGCTTCACTCTTTTTTTTGTTTTTTGTTAACCGTGGACTTGTATTCTGTACTTGAATATATACACAGAGGTCTTAGATTATATCTCACCTCCACCCTTCCAATCGGACAAGCCAGGATACTAGAATTTTGGAGTCTCCTTTAGCTCCTTTTAAATGTCAGATTCTTCATTGGTGAAAACATAATATGAGATGGTACAAAGAATTAACAGTAAGGATAAGAACATCAAAGAAAATCAGATTACCTGTTTAAAGTTGTTGACAGGAATCAAACCTGACTTGCACACGTGCGCACGCGCACACACACACACACACACACACACACACTGATTTAAGACAATGATATATATTCTCACCTTAGGAATGTGCCTTTGGGGAGAAAACAACAACAAAAGCAATAATAATAGGTACTGGTAGAACAATGAATCCAGCCTGATGCCTCTGGGGATCATAAATGAGTTATGACTGTAGTGGGTCTACTCACACAAGAAACAGCTTCCCAGGGCAATGCAACACTGTGGGTTCAATTCCAAAATGAGGCTTCAATGGCAGAAGTGGTGATCTGCTTATAATTCTTAAAGCAATTTGCTACTGCTATGCTTTCTGAACAGCAGTTCTGGAATTGAACTTGAAGAATTCCAAAGCCCTAGTGATAATTGCAATAAAGAATACTTACTAATTGCAGAATTATAGGTGGTTGAATTATGGGAATCTCGTAAGAAAGGAAATGGAGAGAGATAAGCATGGGTGCAGTTTTTAGAAGGTGACTGGTTCGCTGAAAAACAGTAACAAAGGCTAAATTATTATCTTGCATTTCCATACATGTCAATTTCCCCAATTTTAGAATGCTTATGCTAGGTGGATGGATAATTGGCCTTATATGTTTAATATCCAAAATTCTGAATTATGTGTGGGAAAGAGAAAGAATTACATCCTACTTTTAGTTCTTGGAGGGCTCTACAGTGTCAGTATCAGATCGCACAGTCTCTAGGAGTCAGGTAGCATATACATTTAAAAATTAAAATTAAAAATCTATTGTATGATCTGGACTAGTAAATGTAGGAAAAACACTATTCTGGTGGGAGTTTTGGTAGCAGTAATAGTATTGCTTGATTCACTCTGAACTGATTCAGAGTGAAACATAAGCAGTAAAGGACTTCCCTAGAGAATTCAAGACATTTCCCAGTGATATATATATACTTGCCAATTATTTCCAATTAGCATTTCATTTAGCACTTATATTTAAATTTTGAAGACAAACAAACAAACAAAAATCATTCATTGACTTCTCCTGATTTCCAGATGCCTATATTATGAAGATCCTTATAAGGAAAGTGTAAGAAATGCATAAACAGCCATTCTTGTTCCTCCCAAGTTCTTCAGTCTTTCAAACCATCATTACATTCCGTAACATTTTTGAAATTCCAATATTCTGTCATCCAAAGATCATTCAGTAGACAAGTCTCCATCTAACTTTCTTCTACTAGAGTCCTAATATGGCATTTTAGGACTTGCACTGCCTCTCATTTGGTATCTGGAAAGTAGCATAGTAAGAGGAGGATGCTTTTGAATGGTCTGACATGGAAGGGTAAATGGGTAGAGGGAAAGAGAGAAAGAAAGAGATTTTTTGGAGGGGGAGGGGGTGATGTTAGCTAAAACTTTGCTATAGTTTAGAGCTTTTATTGATGCAAATCTGTTTGAATTATGGTCCTACAGACAGCAATTAATTTTTTATGGAAAGATGGGCTACACTTATTTCCATAAATACTTTAAATATTTAAGAGGAACATCTGTCAAATATAGTTATTATACTTCCCAAATGATTAAAAACAGTTTGTAACCATAATTATATATTTCTCTAGTTCTCTATGTTTAAAGCTTAGGAATACCCAATGCTCAGTAAGTTGGCTTCTGTGCCAGTCTATACAGGTATTTATATAGAAAGGCTCTGTCAATTCTTCACTAACAAAACACCATGCTCTAGAGCAGGGGTCGCCAACCTTTTTGACCTCAGGGACCACCAAGCTCATAATTTTAAATCCCGCGGACCAGAGACCCTGGAAAAATCTCCAAAAAAGTCTACAGGAAAAGTCTCCACCCCGTTTTCCTACCGATTGATCATTCTTTATTTGGGATCACAGGATACCGTCTCAAGCTCCATTCTCGGGGGGGGGGGGAGAGACTTTTGGCTTCATGCAAGGAAAGCAGCAGAAGCAGCAGAAGTCTATCTTTCTCTCCCCCAAACTTTGCCAGAAATGAGTCTTTGTGAGACTTGTTGTGCTGGCGCAGCCTCTTGGAGTAGGATGCCTTGCAGGGTCCCAAAGAGTCGTTTCTGGTGGAGTTTGGGGGAGAGAAAGAAAGACTTTTGCTGCTTTCCTTGCGTGCAGCCGAAAGCAGAAGAAGAAAAAAGCGGAAAGAAGCAGCCTGTGGCCAGACGAGGTGCCTGGGGTGAGTGGGGCAAGTTCCCCCCCTCCGCCCTTTCCTCCCTCTCCTCACTACCTCGTGTGGTTCGCAATGCAAGCGACGCAAGCCTTGTGTTCCTGCGAGCCATGTCGGCGGCGCAGCCTTGTGTTCCACGCAGCCTGGATTAATTGCTTTGGGGGTGAAATTTCTCTGAGGACCACCAAAATTTTCTCGTGGACCACCAGTGATCCCCAGCCCACTGGTTGGCGACCACTGCTCTAGAGCAGTGCATAAGGAAACAGAAAATACATTCAAATAAGTTCTTCCATTTCATTCAAGAGCTTGTGCAGCTCTTCCACAAGCACAAACATGAAGTTGCTATTCAATCTTGCTTATATCACTATGTGAAGCCTTGCTAGAAATATTTGCAGAATGCATTTGTGCAGCATGTGCAGAAGTGTCCTAGCTTCATTTTGGTCACATTTCTGCACGTGTAAGATTATGGCTTTTATTTTTGCATACAGGGTCATCCTGCTAGTACAAACATGCTGGTTTTTTAGTGGATTGTTCTGTTGGAGTGTTGTAAACCATTGCATTCTTGTCCTTGAACTGAATCTCCACTGAATACTTTGAATATAAAGCAGCATAAAGAAATGGGGTATTGTGAGCCTTCTTCAACCTCTATCCAGCAGAATAATATCTATAACAAACAGATCCACATATCTGATGCAGAAGATTGGGAAGTCCTCTAGAACAGATTTTGAAAGAATCACAGAGAAATGTAGCAGAGAGGATAATGAAAATGCTCAAGATCCATTTTGCCACACAGAAAGGTTTCCCTCTACAGATAGAAGTTATTAAAGCAGACAATGTTTAAAATGTAAGCAAGCATATAAGGTCAAAACTAGATTACTTACTGTACCAAAACTTCAACATACTGCTAGGATTCTCATCAATCTTCCCATCAAACCAGCATCTCCAGAAGAAACCCTCATGATGGAACATAATTGTCTCTTCCTGCACAAAAAAAAAACCCTAAGAACTTAGCATACATTTATATGAACACGTTCTATGTTTTATGGTAGATTGCTCATAACTCCATAACATCCTGCTAATTCTGAGTATAACTGACCAAAATAGAAATTGGAGAAAATAACCTCCTGAATGTTACTGGCTGAAGTTAATATTAAAATCAAAATGTTCAATGGTTTTCTAAACAAGAACAAAACAGACACATCTCTGATACCAAGAGATTATTCCTAGAAATAAAAAGTATACTAACCCTAGTGCGATTGACATCTTCAGAACACTTCCCAACTTCTGTAGCCAGAAGCCAATAATCTGTCCCAAAAGCAACCAGGAAAAACAAAATGCCAAGAGCCCCAAAGAAGCCTCCAAAAAATATTCCAACACTCAACTTCATTGTTGGTTTGTTCCTTAAAAATAACTGATAAAGCTAAAATATATATTTCAGGGTGGTGGGGGAGAAAAGTCCTCCTCAGATAAATTTAGTTAAGAATTATGTTGCTTATGCTATGGCTTGGATTTGTGTTCAATTAAACTGCAACCTAACAAATGAAGATAGACTTCTATTTTGGGACTCTCCCTGAAAAAAACTTTACAGTATTTTCCTTAGCTGGCGTGACCAGCCAAAAATAGCTGACCTTCCCTTAGCTAGCTATTGGCTTGAAATATTGTTGCACATGGTGCATCCACATATGAAGAAGAGGGATGAAATTACTGTCCCCTTATTATTCTGCCTAGGTTGGATTTCAATATCCAATACTGACAAGGAGTAGCAATATATGTGTGTATGTGTGTGTGTGTTTGTGTGTGTGTGTGTGTGTGTGTGTGTGTATTCTTAAGTTTTCGTGGGTACTTACATGTATAGTATTCAGCTTTGTCCGGGTATTTTCCCACGTCATTATAGTTGTGCTTTTAAAGTTGTAGCAACGTTTATATATATTTATTTGTTTATATATATTTATTTGTATATATATATTTGTCTCAGGCAAACATACAAAGTACAGTACAAACTAAGTTGCAGATATGTAGGCACATTAAAGCTTATCATCAGGTAGATAAAAACACTTGAGCCTCATTGACTGATTGACTATCTCATTCCAAGGCAGTAATAAAGACATTTAAAACTGAAATGGGGCACCCACTTGCTTTTTTAATGGTCTTTAAATGAGAGAATACATATCTAGCTCAAATTCAGAATTAAAAATACATCTCTGCAGGCAAGATTTCAGTACCTAATATGCTCTTATTTTCACAAGAAAGCAGAAATATAGAAGGTCCTGCTTTTGTGCTTTAATGAGATTTGTATACAGAGAAGGTGATTTCTAGTGGGAGCCAAGTAACACAACTATGCTTTTTAGAAAACAGGCTGTACTATTATTTTTCAATTTCAAATATAAACAGATGTATTTTGCATTCTGATGCCATCCAGATGCTCTGGGAATACATATCCCAGAAGAGCAAATCTGCATCATTGATGGTCTGGTTATCTTGGGATTCTGGAAATTTTTACTCTGCATCCCGCTAAAATATGTAAGATTGTGATGGTGATATCTGGGTTTACACTGCCAAAGAGATAAAATGTTATTCAGTTGTACAGCTTTTCTGTATGGTAGTTGGACATCTGCACACCATTCTCCCCGCATGCCTCCCTCCCTCTCTCTGCACATAGTGGACTGTCTAAACCAGGGGTCCCCAGATTCTTAGGTCAATGACTTCTTCATGAAGTTTCAGATTGTTCATCCACCTTCAAACACATTACATGACATTTTTTTAACAAATAATACTTTAGTAAAATAATAACAATAGTGAACAGTCCCATTGACTGAAGTCATTGAAGTCAATATTGACCACTTTGCAGAGCCCTAATCTAATTCAACTCAGAAGTACACAATTAACAGAAGAACTAATTCAACACAGAAGTACACAATTAGATAATTTTTGAGACAGTGGAATAATTTGCAGTTTTGACAGCACATCATTAGAGTGATCATAACACAGCTACAATGGTAAGCAAGTTTCTTGCCAACACTTCTGTTCTAACATGTTTTGACTCTCCTTTCCTTTTCACTTAACTTTCTTTTTTTTCTGTATAGGTTAAGGACATTCTGTACAAAGCAAGGGAGCCTATGAAGGGGCAAGGCATTCTTGCAAATAAAAATTGTGCTAGAAGTTGGTGGACAGAGAAACTGATAGATGTCAAGACTGGTACATATAATTGGAAATTGCTGTGCATTCCTGACTTAGCACAAAACCAAATATTGCCTTTTACAAATATAAAGTATTTTCAAGTCTCTGTTATTTTTTAAAGTTCATCAGTTTGCAAAATGATACACAGAAAGAATGGTTGTTAACGTACTTTAAAATGTTAATTTAGTTATTCTTTGAGAAGCTGGTTACAAAATGAGTTTTTAAAATTGCATTTAAAAAAAGGTTCTTTCAACTCAACCTCAAGTCCTGAGGCCTTTATAAACATATCAATATAGTGTTTGTGGCAAGGGTATGAAAACATCTACTTTTTTAGGGGGAAGGGTAGGGTTGGATTTTGTTTTGTTTTCCAATCTAGCCTGAAACCTTGAGATTCTGTTATGATCACTCTCAACTACATATCCGAACTGAATTTGATTAGCTTTTTGAGATCAACTATCATATACATTTACAAATAAGACAAGAATTTTTGGTGTCAAGATGGACCCACTTCAGTTTGTCCACAGATGGGCTTACCCAGGAGTATATTTGGAGGTAATACTATTCAAAGTACCTATATATTCCATATATAAGCTGACCCTTGAATTTTTAACTGTAAAAATAGATAACGTACAGATTACCACAGATCCACCAACTGGGAAAATTAAAATATATAAACATTTTGGTGGTTAGTTTATTCATGGGTAGCACATTTTTCATGGTATTTTGGTTAAAAATGTGACTATATAGAGTAACTTTTCTTCCTATATACAGTAACTTTTTTCTATCTATCTGTCGATCTATCAAATATATATAGCCACTCATCTCATGGAAAGTTACTTTAAGTGGTGTTTTTTACTGTAAAAATAGTAAACAAAATTAATACATTAATTAGTTAAAATCATTATATAATAATTAAAAAGAATTAGAAATTATAAAAACAGAATTAAAGAAGAGAATAATAAATGGAGGAATATTAATAATAAGTTTACCCATCTCCTGGGGTCCCCGGCCTACTGGAATAACTACATCTTGAGGGACCTGTGGAAGCTCAGGAGCAGGGGTGGGATCTGACAGGGCTAACTACCGGTTTGGAGATTTACGAGATTCGGTGATTTACGATGTGCTTCCTTGCACGCTGCGCGCGCACCTGTAAATTGTCATCAGCTTGCTGCCTGGACAGCTGAGCAGCACTGCGTGCAGAGAAACAGCGTTTGAAAAAGCACTTTTTTTTCTGCTTTTTCAACCACACCTGTGCCTTACATGGCAGCTGAGGTTGAAAAAGCAGGAAATAAACGTCAGGTAAGAGCCCAGGCGGGTAGGTGAGCCAAAACATCAGCAGACATAAAATCAGTTCTATGTCTGCTGCTCTTCAGAGCTACCAGTTCTACAGAGCCAGACAGAACCGGAAGAAGGAGTGATGAGGCCAACCTTTTCTCTATTGGGAGAAGATTCCACAATATGTGCACCACAGCAGAAAAAGCCCACTGGCAAGGGCCCACCAAATGTAGCTCCCTAGACAATGGAACCCATAACATTGCCATTCTGTAAGATCTGTTGGGACAGACAGATGAAATCGGGGAAAGTTGATTCCTCAAATATATACATTGACCAAAAATATGTGTTTCAAGAGTACTAAATAAATTCCAAGAATAGTTAAGTACTCAGTAAATATTGAGTATTCTGGGGTAGCTATTTTCACTCCAATGCATGGTTTCATAGTATCCCACAACAGTGCCTCTTCTACTTATGTCATCCCTTGCATTTATTTAAAAAAAATCTTCTACCAGATCATACTTCTTCTTCTTCTTTTTCTTCAGCATTTGTCTCGCGCTCTGGCAAGGTCCGCTAATGTCCTTGAGTATTGCTTCCACGCCTCTCTGTCTGCCACGTATGTCGGGTCTGCCTTCGCGATCTCTAGGTCGGCCTTGATCGTGTCCATCCAGCGTTGCTTAGGTCTACCACGCGGTCTCGCTCCTCCGACAGTCACCTTCATCGCAGATTTGATGATGGATTCTTCCTTACCGAACGCGGTAGCATTGGGCGTGTGTTCTGTAGTGGACATTTCCACCATGTTGATGCAGCATTTGAATACTCCAGCCGGCCTGTCGCGTGGGCCTGTCGTCGGAGGGTCTGCTCTCAGTTACGGTCAGCGTTTAACGGCTTCGCGCATCCAGGGGACACCACTTGGAGGTGGCAGACCACTCGTCCCCCTTACCAGATCATACTTATTTTTTAAAAAAAATGTTGTCAATTAAGATTTCTTGAGCTATTTTTGGGAAACAGAACTGCTTTATAAATCACAAACAATACTTAATCTCACCTAAATAAATACATACAGTATACTGTTCTAATAGAAGAACCTCTTGCACTGTCAATGTCATAGAAGATAGCAAAGTTTCGTCCTGGCTTTTATGAGCATTTGGATCATTTAGACACTTTTTTCTGTCTGAAAATATAACTTCAATTAGAATTGCATGGAACTAAAAAGCTACTGTAAGAGATTTTTTTAAAATCAAATTTTTATATTACTTTTAAATTATATTACTTCAAATCTGAACAATAGACAACATCTATACCACTTATTTCATGAATCTTAATAGAAAATCTCATGGTGCCATCTCTTAGATAAAAATGAAGGCCTCATGCTTCATTGTGAAAAATAAATCCACCCTAGAGCTTTGGCTGCCAGTCTTATGGAAACAATTATCCATTCTACTGATAAAGATAACATCTTTTAAGATTCACATTTATAACATAGAATTTACTAGATTAAGACCATTTCTGGTTTTAATTTATTTTTACTCTTATTGGATTTAGTTTGATATATGATACAGTTTTCCATTATTTTTTTTCTGTTTTCCCTACGTCTAAAAAAACTTTTTTTAAAAAAGGTCCATTGAAGTACTGAATAAATTATTACAGTATTTTCCTTATATGTTGATTCTTTTCTTTTCTTTTTATAAAACTGAGAAGTCATGGCTATAACACACAAAAATGTTTAGGGCCATTTACTTTGTCTTCAGTTTTAGTATAGGACCAAATATATTTCTCATATGGAAGATTTTTTACAATTTTTATGTTTACAAGAATATTTGTAGAAATATTCAAAACTGATTATGCATATTACTAGCATTACTATTCATCAAGCTTCACAAAATTCTATTGAGTAGGAAAAATTGTTTAATCAGTGGTTAATTCAATTTTTTTTACTACAGGTTCTGTGGCCGAGGCTTGGTGGGTGTGGAAGGGGAAGGATACTGTAAAATCTCCAGTCAGAGGTGATATTTGCCAGTTTACCAAACTACTCAAAATTTCCACTACTGGTTCTCCAGAACTGGTCAGAACCTGCTGAATACCACCTCTGGTTTGAATATTTATT